ATTCGAAATGAAGTTCCCCCTAACAATGTTATCTCAGGAGATTCATCGAAATCAAGTTTCTCTTCGTATCCACAATAACTTAGTCAACCGAGGTCACTTGAAGAAATTTAAGGACTGATAGAGCAGTTTTTCACACGATGAGATAGGTAGGCATCACGGTTCCATTTGATTTCACATAGCCTTGCTTCCCAAAAGGGACTCTTATCCAGGCTGGTTTGCAGTCTCGATCTCGCCTCAATTCATCTCATCAACACTCCCAGCGGTACTTGAACCCGGGTTGTGATAGTGCAGAGCATAGTCTCGATACTCCAACCACTACGCCACACTGACGCAAGCTCCCTTGGGTCACAGGACAGATGTGAATTTCAACGAAGTCTAGACTTTTCCTATATTACATTTTGATGGTGGGATTGTTGAGAAAGCGAATTTATAATTGCTATTACATTAAACGACATTGCTCATTTTCGTGTTTAAGTTTGGTTTCCAGACTACCAGTAGACCTTGAATAAGAACTGAGTTCACCCTATTTCGTTTAATTTGATGGAGGATTTAACTTATCCCTGTCTCCCAAAAGTTTATATCGTTTTTAAATTTCCTTAAGCGACCCAGAATGACTAAGTTCTTATTCAAAAAGTGCAGCCTGTATCGAAAGTTACTTGTGTCGAAATTAAGTAATTTCGTCCATTGTAATAGCAAACACGGGTTTGCTTAATCAACTTTCCAAATATAAAATGTTAGTTGGAATAATAAGGGCCTATATGAGATGTTGAATCTGTTCTGTGATCCACTGGCACTAATGACGATGTAGTCGAGTGGTAAATTTGACCCCGACTCTAACAACCTGGTATCAAATCCTGTTGGGCGAGATGAAGGGATCTAATCTAGTTTGAAACTGTACTCCAGCCTAGATGGGATAGCCTTTTGAGAGGCAATGCTAAGCGAACTTCAGTGGCCTCTTGACGCCTACTCATTTCATCGTGAGAAAAATCCATCTATCAACGATCGAGGTTGACTAAGTTAGTATAAAATAATAACTGATAGTATGAAAAACTACTCGTATCAAAATGGAAATTAAGGAATTAAGGAATCACTAAATTTTAATGAGGAAAGAGGAGTTTGCTAGGCATTTTGCAGTCATCATAATACATGCAGATTAGCTGGACTTAGGAAGGCTTTAGAGTACAGAGATACCAGGGATGAGAGGTAATACAAAGAGCCAAGAGTATGGACATGTAGCATAGCGGCATGTATGCGCGATCAGGCTATCTTGTTTTCAATACTTTCTACCACAGAGTCAGATAGTTCGAGCACTCGTCTTCCACGTCTTTTCAGTCACAGGTTATAAAATCACTTATTTCAGCTTTTCCTCTGTCGAGGTTGGCCAGAGCTTGGAGGGGGCTCGAACGAGAGCCTCAGAGGGAAGCTGGAGTTTGTTTACAGAGGATAGTATTGCATAGAGGGGTAGGGGGATCTAATGATGAGTCTACAGAAGGGTAGGCATTGCAACCATTGTTTGCACAAATAGTCCTGAAAGTTTATTTACAACAATGCTCAATGGAAGTCGACAAGAGAATCATTGTCTGAACACGCGTAATAATGCCAAAAAGAGCCTTAAACCTGAGATGAGTTGTGGTGACGCATCAGACCCATGGTGGCGAATTTCATGCGCTTCTGCTTTTGTCGCTGATTACAGAACCAGACACGAACTACATTCTTTTTCAAGTTCAATTTTTCAGCGATTTGGGCAATTTTTTCGCTTGACGGACGAGGCTGGACACCGAAGAAGGCCTCAAGTGATCTCTTTTCGGAATCTGTGATCGAAGTGCGCTTACGCTTCTTCTCCTCCTCCGGGTCATAAATGTCCGGGTGCCGAAGACGCTCATTTGCCTCAGCCTCGGCCTCCTCCAGCCAAGCCTGAAGTATCGGCTTCAAAGCGACCATGTTGTTGTGCGACAGAGTGAGTGACTCGAATCGACATATTGTAGACTGTGAAAGCGATCCAACGCCAGCGATCTTCAGGTTGCCCAGGGCCTTACCGACGTCGGCCTGAGTTACGCCCAATTTGATGCGACGCTGCTTGAAGCGTTCTGCAAATGCCTCCAATTCTCGGGGATTGTAGTCGACCACCTCGGCGGTTGCTGCCGCCGCTGCGGCAGCCGCAGCAACTGCTGCTGCTGCTGCAGCTGCTGCAGCAGCCGCCGAACCAGACACCGAAACAGAGCCTGACGACGGTTCGCCAACCGCCCCAGCGACCATAAATGCAGCAGAAGCGGCAGCCGCGGCCGTCACACTGACGAGCCCATTTGACGAGACATGAGTCGTCTCTGTGATGGTATGAGGGTAGCAGGAGTGTGAAGCCAGGTGGCTGTGAAGATGTTGATGGTGAGGATTCTGAGCCAGATGATGCTGATGATGATGGGGACTGTGGTGGAGGTGAGGGTGGTGGGTGTGATGGTGGGGGGTTGGAGGATGGCCAAGAGGATGAAGTGAATGGGTGAGATGGGGATGATAGGGTGGCAGTTGTCCGAACGGATGATGCGAAAAGGCGTATTGCTGCGGTCCAAGTGGATACACCAAATGGGAGCCTGGCGAAGAAGGAAGGGAGGACAAGGAAGGATGCAGGGGAGGAGGAGGAGGCAGAGGGGGGGCGAGAGTGTGACGTGGTGGGAGGAGGGGTGGAGCCAGAGTGTGCTGGGCGGGCTGAAGAGTCAAGGCAGAAGCACAAGAAATGGTTAAACCGCTGTGAAGGGAGTGTGAATGTTGTGGTGCCGGCAGCTGTAGTTGTCCAAATCCGGAGCCTGAGGACGAGAGTGGCAGTAAAAAGGAGGGTTGTTGATGGTGGTGTTGGTGTTGGGGCTCTGGCGCAGGCTGGGGCAGCTGATGGGATACGGAATGATGAAGGGAGCCGGTGGGCAAATGCTGGGGCAAAATAAGCTGCTGTTGTTGTTGATGATGATGTTGGCTTTGGCGTTGATTGTGTCCAGCCGAGTTCAACTCTTGCGTTGGTTGTTGACAATGCGACAGATCGCCGAGGCCGAGGACCGCCTCGGCCTCTTTGCATAGCTTGCCGGTGCCGAGACCGAGGCTGTGGTTGCTTCCGCCACCACCGGTACCACCACTGCCGCTGTCGGTGCTCGTGGCGCCGGACAGGTTGGCATCGGAGCTGAGATTTGCGTCGACACCAGCGAGGGTGTACGGAGTGGCATGAGTTGTTTCGCCCGTCGGTTGTACCAATTCGAATCCGGCGCCAGTCAGTGAGGTGTGAAATGAGCTCGGACCGAGCATGAGATCGGGCGACGTGTAGATCTCTGGCGCGGTGGAGTCGGAAAGCGATTGGCTGTGTCCATTAGTTGGAGAAGACGATGATGACAAAGTGGAGGTGGAAGATGAGGAGGAGGTGGTGGAAGAAGCAGAGGAAGAGGATGATGATGATGATGAGGATGATGATGATGAGGAGGAGGAGGAGGAGCAGACTGTCGCAGGCGTTGCCTGGCTGTACACAGATTGTTGGCTCTGTTGGTGTTGTGGTTGTGATCGTGGTTTTGCTTGCGATTGTGACGATGTTTGTGTTTGTAGCTGTTGCTGAGTGAGGTGATGCTGATGAGGCTGCGACTGATGGTTGTATCGAGGGTATAGCGTGTTGGTGACAGTTAAGGGTGCAGAAAATCCGGCCGGACCTAAGGCTCGAGTAATGGAGCAGGGCAATGTTGCCGTTTCCGCCTCGCCGGCTGTACCAGTGGCTTGTGTCGAGACTGACGTCGTTCCGGCCGAGAGATAGGCTCGAGGGTTGGGGCCGGCAACGGTCGAGCCAGTCTCCTCAGACAGCAGATTCAAGTGGGACTGGTGTTGATGCTGATGCTGGTGTTGCTGCTGGAGCTGGTGTTGGGACAAGGAGAGACCCGGATAAGCAGCCAGTTGGAGCGAGATGGGATGTGGAGGCGGCGCGAGGTTGGTGTGGTCCGACGAAGTCTGGATCGGTTGATGAGGTCGAGAAGTGGAGGCCGTTCGACTGATGGGCAAAAATGGGCTGGCTTGACTGTAGGCCAGACTGGAGGAGAGTGAAGCAGCCCAGTCGGTGGGTGGAGCGAGAAACCGACCGGCCGGATTCATGGCTCCGGCGCCCTGAAAGAAGGCGGTCGCTGCCGACGGCAGGTAGGAGCCGAGCCGGCCGGTCGTGGGGCAGTTTCTAAGCAGACTCAGAGCTGACAACTGCTTCTCGTGGCAGGAGGCCGCCTCGCGCTGCGCCTCCTCTTCTTCTTCTCTCCCCTCTTCTTCCTCCTCCTCCTCCTCTCCCTCTT